GCGGGGCCAGGGGGGGGCGGGGCTCGGCGCTCGCCCCGCCCCGCCCGTGGTCCGCAGTGGGCACCAGGCAGCGCCGGAGTGGGGGTGATGATGGGGATGGGACTGATGGGGATGGGGCTGATGGGGATGGGGTTGGGGCTGACGGGGTTGAGGATGATGGGGATGGGGGCGATGGGGGCGATGGGGATGGTGTTGGGGCTGACGGGGTTGAGGATGACGGGGATGATGGGGATGGGGGCGATGGGGATGCGGCGGGATGGGCAGGATGGGCATGGGGAGGGGGATGGATGCCACCTCGCTCCCTGTCCTCCAAGATAGCCCCTGGAGGCCTCCGGCAGCTTTTGCGGCCCCCGCTCGCAACCCCTGCAACCCCAAATTTCCACCCTCTCGTGCAGATGCGGAGGCGGAAACCACGAGCATCGCCCTCGGCCTCCCGCCGCTGCCGATGCAGGCTCGCGTCCCCACACATGCGCGCGTACCCCTCGCCCCAAGGGCGACGGCGCGGGAGCATTCGCCCCGCTCCTGCCAGGCCTCGGCTCTGGGGACACGGGCTTGGGAGCACGGGGATTTTTTGGTCCTGTGCCTCAAGCTGGCAGCAACCAGAGCGAAGGGGAACGTGAGCAGTTACTCACAAAAGAGATGAGTCATCTCTTTTCTTCTGTTATCGGAGCCTGTAGTAGGCAGGGGGCAGATGCAGAAGTTATTTTGGTTTTAGGTTGCACCATACTGCGGTGGCAAAGCCTCTCGGTTGAGGCCGGCGGGGAGAAGCAGGTAAGCAATACAAAGCCGAAACAAAAAGTGGGCGAAACTGTGTGCCTGCGATTACTGTTAACAACGCTACTGAGTTATTACCAATACTCACAGGGGAGACTTCTCAGGTTTCTACTTTTCAAGCAAATATTTCTGCTTTCCTCCTTTCCACTGAGGTCACCACCTTCTAGAATACGAGCCTGCAGTTTTGTCCACGAGGTTGCGATTAGGACGTTTTTAGCACCGTGGCTGCCCCCAAAAATATGTAGTAAGACAACACGGTATTTCTAAAGTATATTATGCAAATTGGAGGTCTATAATTTAGGTTATTATACATGTTTTAATTGTGTTAAAAAACATGGGACAGGTGCAACGTGAAATTATATTAATCTGCCCATGAGGAGGCAAGAGGGCATTACTTTATATTATTCAAATATTTCTTCCGCTGTCAGGTGAAGCAAGGGTTTCACTGGGAATTAGCTAGGCAGTTTTCTACTCCAAAGACTGTTGTTATACACCATAGACGGAATTTATGCAGTCACAGTAAAATTTGCAAACGTAACCCATAGTATGAAATCAGGTACCAAGTAGCGCCAGAAATAGCACAGTCTAATAAAGGTAAAAACTCACTTGCTCCCTAATCAGCAGCTATCTCCCAAGTGCACCTTCTCCTTCATTTAATGAACCTCTTTATGCAAGGGAGAATTTATGAAATCAGGCCGTATGTTTTAAACACGCAAGGAGATGGTTCTCTGTTGTTCTTCAAGCCTTAGATCTCAGTTACAATACCTTAGCCTTAGGTAGATGCTTTTAAGTATTTCCTCGTTGGAAAGCGCTCGCTGCTCAGAGATCCCTTAGCCCCCGAACTCTCTTTGCATGCTCCGTGGCTGATGGGAGGACCCACAACCCGGCTTTCCGAAAGCGGATCCGACTGATCAACCTTTGCATTCTCATCCCTGCCAGGTAGCCCGGAAAGCCGGTCATTTTAATCTAGCCAGGAGGATCTCCAACTACGGCAGCAAATGGATCTTGTCTTTTAACGAGCAAATGGTAATGTGAATCTGAGAAGTCTATAATCCAGAAAATTAGATTTGGCATCAGAGTTGCCTGCAATTCCCTTGAAAATGTCAAGATTAAATGTGGTTTTCAAACCAAAAGTGGATTTCTGTCATGGTAGTCCTACTGTGTCGTGGAAGGTCCCTAAAGCACATACAGGCAGGGACAGACAGCGCCTTTGCCCTTGCTATTCAGTAACAATTTTGGAATGGATTTAATTGAAGATCAGTCTCAACGCATTAATGAAAACTGTTCTATAAAACAATTGAATGAGGTTTTTGTCTTAAAGAGGGCGTGGAATTTCTTTTTCTCTTCTATTCCAAAGTTTCTACCCTCCTGCAGGCTGAACTGCTGACTCGCTCTCCTTTTACCAAGCAAAACCCACTTCGGCCAACACTCTGATACCTCAACTGGTACTTGTTTCATCAGCGACATCTTATTTATCAGGTCATTTGGCATAAATCTACTCCCAGTCAAAGCAGATTAAGACAAGTCTAATTCCACCAAGCTCTGTAACAAAAGGCTTTTTGAAAAATACACACACCCATCGGTTGCACAAGACGAGCTGGCTCCCAGCAGCCTTATGCTCTCAAAGTGCCTCCATGCAAGTGACTGGTAAATTATTGCTACATCTACAAATTGTAATTATTAATGCTGCAGACCTTGAGCATTTGTTTTTCGGCCCAAACACTACGTAACATCTGTGGTGACCAAAACCCTGTGAGGCGTCTTCAGCCTAAGAAAGTTCCTCCTGGGCTGGGTGGTGACCAAAAGCGCTTGTCACCTCTTCTCCTGACGGGGAACCCAGCGCAGCCCGTACAGACAGCGACAGACTGGGGAGAAGGGGGGGTCAGCCAGGAAGGCACGGCGGGGCTGGGGTATCCCGCTGGTTTCAGCCCGCTTTGGCCTAGCTGTAATTCAGCGCAACCCGTCAACATCCAGAGCCGGAGAAGGCTGCGAGGCAAGCGCGGTGGAGGATTCCTCAGCTCCCCCAGCGCTGCCCTCCCAGGTTTTTATTGTAGCACCTCCATTTAGTGGGGTGTATCAATAATGCCAGCTAGCGGCCAGTGTCAGCAACATTTGTCCTGAAACCTCTCTTGCAGGCACCTGCAAATAGTGAGATGTGCTTACCTTGGTATCTCAGGCAATTGCAAAAATAAGAAACAAAATGCATTGGTTTCTGAAAGCTCTGCTTCTTCCCTCACTTCAGAACGCAGCCTGGGCAAGTATTGTGGAATTAAAACTAGTCAGTCTTGGTTTGGGTTATACCGATATACTTGATGACTGAAACAGCTTTTGAGAGTGCAACTTGTGCACACCCATGAACTACTTTGAAGGGATCTGAAAATTCAGTTAAGACCAAAAAAAAAAATATATCCTGTTGTCTCGAAGCTTGCACTCACTGGTTAGGGGTCTCATTGCAAAAGCCAGAGAGGTTGAAAGCCAGCCCCTGAGACTTTCACCACCAGCTAAACACCTAGGCTAATCAAGGTCACGCCTCTCCCTTTTGCTATCCTAACCAGAGCCAGCACAGAGAAAAGACGCACTGGACCTGCTGCGCTGGGCTTCCCTCTGCGTTAGAGCTCCAGTAACTCTGTCCTCGTTACAGGGAAACAGCTGAGCCACTGCACTAAGCCGAAGCAAAATCAAGATGCCTGTTCAGTGTTGGGGGTTTCTCTGTTAAAACAGACTTCCATCTTTTCAACACCCTTTTTAATTGTAACCATGAGATTTTCTCTCACACCTGGGCCCTCATACTGAGAAAGCATTTCAATAATGACAGCAGAAATTCAGACTGAGGGAGAAATTTTGCTGCCCAGCTTTCAGCCGTCTCTGGTTTATCCTTTCTGACACGAGGTTTGCAGCCTGAGCTGCGACGCCGTGGGGCAGGGGACTTGTGGGCCGTCCTGCGGAGCGGCAGCAAGGCAGCCGAAAGAAAACCTCTGGCAGAACTGCCTGTGACCAGCCCGGCAAAGCCCACACGCGGCGTAAGGGAGCAGCGGGGGTACCAGGCAGATGGGTTGAGGACTCTCAGCTCGGAACGGTTGGGCTGCAAAGCTCGGGCAGAGATCTGTGTGTGCTTGCAAAGACATCCTCCCAACACGCTATGCCATCCCCTATAGCTTTGTAAGTCATCACTGCCGATCTAATCCCTGATGTAACTGGTCCCTACCTCTCTATAGTCAAACGATATTGCCCCACAGTTTATTGCTGTAAGGAAAGGGCTAGCCTTTACAGCATCAGTGTGCCCGCACTGCTCCGTCCCTGGGGCGTGTACTGAGGTGAATGCTATAGGGGATGTAGGCTTTAAATAAATAAATAAAATGTAAATAAATCAAGTGCAGAAAATGGAGCTTCGCCTTCCCTGTAGAGCAGCACGTAGTCACTCTGCCAGGCACGCAGTCCCTCCTAACCGCGAGCGAGGAACATGCCAGGTGTCGGAGCAGCCCACGGTTCAGCGGGTACGGGAGCAGAATAAACACCTCTCATCGGTCCACCTCCTAAGCAGCAGCGTGGGACAAGGGTCAGCCTCTCGGTAAAGCGGCAGAGCACAAACTACTAGCAACAAGAACTCGGTTTTGCAACACTGGAGCAGTATAACCTTTGTGGTATTTCTTAAACTGGAAATAAAAATGGTGGTTTACAATCCAGTTGCTTAATGCAAGTGAATATTTGCTGCATGGATGTCAAATGTTCCTTACTCTCCAGTGGGTGTAATTAGCCTCCTGCTGCAGACTGTGAGTCGAGGTGTGCGAACACCGCCGCCACACCTCTGTACCCTAGCAGCATCGCCACGCAGCACGCAAACGCCAAGCCATCCAGCATAAAGCTGGGTTTGCCTTTAGAATAGCATCGAGAAAACCAGAGGTAAAAGCTTAGTAACGCTTCCACTCCTAGAGACTGTTCAAGATCAATACCTGTGTTTGCTTTAACGGTTTAGGCGAGCACACGTCAACAGGTTGGAAATGGTCCATGACACCGTTTTGCTCTAAAAGCCAGTACAGAGGAGTCAGTGTTTCTTCCCTCTTTGCTATACTTGTATTGCTACATTTTTCCTAGACATTGGTCTCTAAGACTGATGTTCTGGGATTAGCCTGAACTTCAAAAGGGGGCATGTATAATTCTTCATATTAAAGGAAAACTCAGACTATTTATTTAACATATGTCTTTTGGGGCTTGTTCCTTTGATCCGAAGAATGCCCTCAATTCTGCTTTTTTCTCCCAGGCTGTTTGACATTTAAAAAAAAAAAAAAAGTGGGTTGCTCCAAAGTAGAGACTTTCGCACTGTGTATATAAAGCAGCTGAAATAAGTACAGAGGAAAAGAAACCCCCAACCCAGCAAGTGCTACAAAGCTGGCTAAGTGGATCTGATTTCTGTACAAGTAAACAGTTTCCCTGTACATACACCTTGTGTTTGTGGACATTCCTCTCAACGTACTCACTGCCCTGGTTAGTCATGTTTTCTTATAAGCTTACCTATCTCATTAGTTCATTAGCGCCTTGCAGCAGGAATGCATGGCTAAGAAATACACACACCACTGATGTCACAGTGTGTAAACAAGGAGCAGAAGGCCGTTTCCCCATAGCAAAGGGCAATGTCATATGTCACCTGTAAAGGATACTGGGTGTACATAGATGGGGTAAGTGGTGCACGTTCTTGGCTTGAAATATTTTGCTCGTGACAATATTCTGGTTTAGAAGAGGAGTTACTGCAGTTTCTCAGTGCTGTTAAGGAGTCTCAGTGTAGGTCTGAAGGAGTAAGCATCAGTTTTCCTCATGACTGATGCTGAAGACCTTTTTCCTCCTAACTCAGGTGACTCACCTGGGCCAAAACCTGTCATTCTGAGCCCACATTAATTTTATTTTCTGCTGTCAGATGCAGGAGCCTGTGCTGTAAGCACAGCAGGTGAATTAGGCTCCAGCGGACTTCGATTTCAGTCTTCCTACCTTCCACAAACAAGGACCACTTCAACCACCTGTAAAACGAAACCACTTTCTAGCAGGGACTGCAGAGCTGTCCCAATGCAGCATTGCCACTCAACTCTTTAGTACAGGAATGGGAGGAAAATCTGCTTTATCTCAGTGAGATTTTAACCCAGAAAAATAATGATTTTTTGAACTGCAAATCTACCCAGGACCCTGCTTTCCTAGTATCTCAGTTTATGTGCAGTAATGGGTAACCCATCTAAGGTTAATGTTGCCATACATCCAGGCTTCCCAAATATGTGGTTTTCCGCTCAAAACCAGAAAAAAATCTACCTGCTTCTTGGACGTGGCAAACCAGTCACATCTACCAGACAGCAGATGTAAGCGGGCTGACCAGTCCAGAAATCCCAGGCACAGCATCAGCATGCGTGCAGATCACCTGTGCTGTGGTTGCATGGCAGGATCGACACCTGCAGGAAGCCTCAGCACTGATTTGCACAATCCTACACAGCCTGTGAACACACCATCAGCTCAAGGGTGCAGATCAGCGCGCAGGAAAGCCCAGGCTGAAACAAGACAACCACCGTAAAAGACACTTGTACCATGTTAACACTGCAAAGATCATTGAAGGGAATGCCCTCGTGTTACGTCTTGATCTTATTTCACTGTGTTTTCCAGCCCATAGAGTTGAAATGCCTTCAGTTCAGACTTCCATTCACTAGAAATCCCAGCTTTCAAAACACATGGCAGTCTGACTTTGGGAAAGTCCTGAAACTCAGCTGTAGAGCTGTCTTCCATTAGTCAGACAAAAATTCAATAAACAGGAAATTTTCTCATTTAAAAAAGCACCTAAACCAAGGCAGCCAAATAAAATCTTATTATGGTAGGGAAAATGTTAGGTTGCTTCCAAGCAGTGGAACAAAAACTTTCCTGGTGCTGGGATGAAGCGCATATACTAGGGCAGGTTTTATCTTCAGTTAAATGTGTGCTGGGACAACTGGGACAGCATTGCTCCATTTATGGGTCAGAATTTGCTGCCACATAAGTCTCAACCACAGCTGTCCTATGTCTGCATAAAGGATATTAATATCTTGGAAAGGATACTAATACCATGTTCTTCCTTGCTTCTACAGACTTAACAGCCAGTTGCTACACATTTAGAAAGAAAGCCATGACAGTAGTGGCAAATTTACAATAATATGTAAATCATGCACGAGTTAGCATAAAACATCAAGAAAGTTGGAAATAAACTCTTTGATTTGGTGGGGCACGGTGCAAAGCTCTGTTCCCAGGCGTTGGCTCCCTCTGCCAGTTCTTAGCTGGGAAAAGGCACCAAGTGAAGCCAGACGCATCCTGTCTGACAGGACGCTGCTCTTCACAGAAGCTGGCCCATGGATGTTTTAAGTTTCCTTTTAATTTCCTGCCAATTTCTTAAGAAGAAAGCAAGAGTACAGGCAGCCCTTGTTTCTACCTTGCACATTTTGTCTCGGGAGCTTGCGACTGGGAACGTGACAAGTCACGCCGGGGTTTCTCAGCAGCACTGTCAGGACTGAGCGTTGCTGCCCCAAAAAGCTCCGGGGCTGGAGGCAAAGCTAGGTCAGGCCACCCAGGCTGTGGCAAAAGGCAGAGCCAAAGGGAGGGATGGGGCTGTGCCCACCCCCCCGCTGCCCCGGGCAGCCCAAGGGTGGGAAGGGAAGCTTCCCAGGGCCCAGGAGAGCTGCTGGAAGCCCGTTTCCAGCAGCTGGTTGATGATGATGACGATGATGATATCCCAACCGCCGTCTCCGGGGCGGCAGCAGGGCTCTGGTGCAGAGGGCAGGGTGCAGGGCTGAGGCTGCTCGGCTGCCCCAGACAGCCCAGGGCTCTGCCGGTGCCCGGCCCCCGGAGGCAGAGGGCATTTCCTCCCCACGCACACCCTCCTCCTATCTGCTGCCATTAAACGCAATGGGAAACACGTGGCTTGCTGTAAAGAAAGTCAATAAAAGGTCTAACTAGCCAAAAAGAAATCACTTGCCTCAGGAACCAAGCTGATACGGGAGTTCCGTTTGGAGCAGAAATCTGGCCGCCTTCTCCATGTCCCTAGGTGGCATTTGTCCCTGACTGCTGGTCACCCAGTCTGGCTGAGCGAGAGCCCAGGGTATCACCCTTTCTCTGTTCCCTGCGTGCCTCCAGGCAAGCCACAGTGTCCCAGCTGAAAACACCTGGCTTCCACCGAAAGTACTTGCAAGCTACCCATCCCCAGCCATACATAAGTCTCTGATGACACCATGCTGCAAACATGCCCCCAAATCTGGGGGGTCTAAAATCCAGACTGCATTTCATCCTCTGCAAGAAGCTTAGGGCTGAGATGCCTTCCTTGCCTGCCAGATACGGGCACAGGTAATGAACCGGGGTGCTGCATAATCAACCTCGTGTGGTAAGCCAGAGAAACCCTCACCAGGCGATGAAAAGAAGTTTATGGTTTGGTTTAATAAAACCCTTAGCAGAACAAATTTTAAAGCAAAGTTTAAGTTCATTAAACTTACTTCTTTTCACTCCCACAGATTTTTTGCTAAATTATGAGAACGTAGGGGTAGATCCCTATTTTTATATGTTTCCCTGCGTTGTCTTACACTGCACCATGACAGTTTACTCCTGTCCTGTTGAAGCTGGCAGGCTTGTATGCTGATGATGCTCTGCTATTCCAAAATTACTGATGACCTGCCAGGAAAGAAACTGTAATCAAGATTATACAAAAAAAACCTGCTTCCACTAACAATGTTTCTTCCATTCAGTGCTCTCAGAGCTTAGCTTCCCATCCATCCATCCTTCCTTCCTTCCTAACTCTGGAAAGCTACTATTTCCTCCCCTAAAAAAAGAAGATTGTTTCAGAGAGAATTGCCTAAAACAGCTAAGCTATTTAGGGGTATTTTGCCCCTAGATCCACTCTGGACTTTCAAAAATCCCACCATTCATTGTGGTTTCTTCACATTTGGTTATTAACCGTTACCTTCCCAAAAGCCAGCCATTCTTCTGTACCCAACCCCAAAACACACACAGACAATTATAGCACAAGCCATTTGGAAGGCTATTAGAAGTAAAAAAATAATGAGAAGCCAATATTGTTCCAATCAATTACAGGTTTTAAGCAATAAAGCAAATAAAATGAGAATATTGTACCTTCATGTCGGAGGAGTGAAGTTAGAATTAGCTCTACGGAAAACAAGCCAGTTCTTTGCACCCCACTGGCAACTGATCGTTCCTTATGGCCACGTCTGTGTGAATGATTGAAAAGTTCCTCTGAGGTTTAACGGTATGAAACAGAGAAGCAGCAGCAAGGAAACTTTTTTTTTTTCCCCCCTCCCTCACAAAAGTCCTGCTTACTCTGGCTTTCTGGTCACAGAAAAAAAAAAATTATATATATTAAAAAAAAAAAAAAAGACACCCTAAACAACACTCCCCACCCCCCCAAGTTTATCACAGCCCCAGGCTGAGTACCCACAGGGCTCTTTTTGTTGCAGGGGATCACACATGGCTTATCTTTCAGCCCTGGTTAACCGAGGAGGGGGGGATGTTATGACATGTGAGAGGAAGCAGGAGGGTGGAGGAGGAGGGTGGTGTGAGCATGGCTCCCTGGACTTTTTCTGCGCAGTGGAATTTCCCAGGCGGGGTAAGCCCTGGCAGGGACATTCCCCTGCCAAAGAGGCTGGCAGGAAACCCCAGGCTGGCGTAACGCTGCCAAAAAAGGGTCTAGAAGATGCTGATGCGAGATTCACGGCAAGAACAATGACAAAGGGCCGTACACCAAAGGAGAGAAGAGAAACCTGCAGTGTGCAACACAGCGGGGTTTCTTTCCTGACAGGGTCAAGTTCTCCTCCTTGCCCACCTCCTGCCTGCAGTGCTGCCCGTATGGCTGGCAAGCAGTCAAGCTGTGTCTCGTAGCCTTCTTCTGACTTGGCACTACAGGGTAACCTGGGCAAGCAGGTCCCTGCGTAGCAGTCGCATAGGAAGCAAGAGAGATGCAGTGTCCTACAGATAAAAAAAAAAACAGGTCCAGCCTTTGGGAGGTGAGGCGGGGCAAACACTTCTCCTTGGTGACTGCCTGGATTTCAGTGGGATTTTGCACTCAGAAAGGTTGGAATGAGTTTCATGGCGGGTAGCATCAGTTAGCGTGAAAGCTCCGTACAGCCAGAAGCCTGATTAAAAAGGGGGAGAGGCGGGGGGGCTGAGGGGGGGAATAGTACTCCCCTTTATCACAGATGTATCAGATGTAAAATAGTCACCTGCTCCAGTAGATACGATAACCTTCAGCATGGAAGTTTCCAGGATTTTCCTAAAAGGTGAGCAGATCCATTTGAATCATACTCCCTTTTTTCTCCTTTCAGCAGTGGCACGGGCCAGGATTCACCATGCTTATCAAACATGGTGAGCAAGGACAGGACACCCAAATCTTCTCAGAGCAAACACCTCCTGGCTTCAGCCCCTTTCGTTACCCCTTCCCAAGCACAGTTAATGCATAGAGATCCCGGCGGCTGGCACCAACAAGGTAAAAGCACTGAACTACTCATCCCCCTGCCCGTTGTGTCCCCAGTGCCTCCTGCACTGGAACGTAATGTTCAAAACAAACAAATAAAAACCCCTCAGACTTTACCCCCACCCTCGCCCTGCCTCAGCAAGCTGCAGGAGGGAGGTAGGAGAGAACATCTCCTTCCCAAAGGTGATCATTCTGAAACCCTCGCCCTGCAGGCAGGAAACGCTGCGTGGGCTCCATCTTCCTGTTCGCAGATGTATTATATCACTGGAACACGTTCAGCTGGTAATCTCGATGGGCTCAATACTTTTCTTTGAAATAAGGGCGGTTTGTTCCAACCGGGGCTGCTATTCGATTGTTTGCTGGCCGAAGGGCCGCCGTGCCCTCGGTCTTGCCTTACGCACGGCAGGGCAGAGCCCTGGCCAGACCCTCGCCCCACGCTCTCCCGCAGCAACCGTGGAGCAAAGCGTGCTGCCGTCGGGGACCCGAGAGGCCTCTGGGTGCCTTCACAAGGTACCACGGTCTCTTTTTGCAAAGCAGGGAGGCTGCAGCCCCAGAGGGGCACGGAGGGCCCAACACCAGGGGTAGTAGGAATAGCATCTGGAGCCCCATCCAGCTTCTCCACCCTTTTTTCCTCAGGTGTCACTGCCTCTTGAATCAGGGCAGCTCAGGTGTTCTGGCTCCTAAAGCCATGGGGGTCACTTGTTATCAGCTGTAAATGCACCGGAGGTCAGCCCCCTCCTGGGCACCCACCCACCTGTGCAAACAGGCAATCCCTGCTGCAAAGAAAAGGAAAATCCACATACGACAAGAAACAAACAGGAGGCGCAGAAGGGCAGAGTAACAACGCCATGGCCAAACAGCTGGTGTGTGGTAGGGCAGGATGAAAAGTCGTGACTTCAGTCAAAAATCAAAATATCTACTTCTAGCAATATTGGTTGCACGGAAGAACGGGGGCAACAGGACAGCAGGAAGAAATTTGTTGACATAGAGAACCTACATTTCAAACAGCAGATATGAAATTGTTAGGATTGGAAGATACACGTATATTGGATCCATTTTACAACAATGTAAAATAATTGTAATATCTGCTTGTTACTGGAGCTCTTGAACTTTTTTCATTGGGTTTTTAAGACGGTATCTTTTTTCCATAAAGTAACTTGTTTTTTTCTATTTTTACTTATCAAAGCAAAGGCAAAACCAAAACACAGCAAAAGCAAATAATAATAATACAAATATACAGGGCAAAAATGATAAAGGCAGGCAGAAAGAGAAGAAACCATTAGAATGAAGAGACAGCTAAGGACAGAAATAGCTGCCTCGCCAGCAGCAAGCAACGATTCCCTGAGAGAAGCTGATTCAGGCAGAGAAAGAGGGCAGGCAGGACTGGAAAGTGTGACTCACCCGGCCCAGGGAAAAACAGAGGGTAGAAAGGAGTGGCAAGAATGGAGCCCAGGATGGCAAGGGGGGGGAAATAAACCTGTGAATTTGCCATGGTTCTTTCACTGCAGGTACTTTTGCCATGCCTCTCACCTGCTGAACTCCAACGAGCACATCCCACCTGGAAACTTTTTTGCAACGTCCTTCAGTGTGCTGCCATGTCACAGCAGAGCAATAGTACCTGTTGTATAACTAGTCCTGATCATTGCAAACAACCCGCAGCAGAGATTTAGAGTGAAAAGGGAAAGTCCTGTATCAGGCTGAATCAGAAAATAACAGGTTCGTACAGAGGGCCCAAGCATGAGGGCACCGGGTAAAAAGCACTTGTCTATTTTCAGAGCTGACCAGGGAAGGGAGAGAATAACAAGCGGAGGGGCAGGACAAAATGTTTAATGGGTGGCTGAACCAGGGAACACTGACTGCCATAGCATGGTCTTGCTGTGATACCACAGAGTCTGCTAAATTTTCCACGTTGCAGGAAGAACTGACTTGAGATGGACCGTTCTATTCCAGTAAAGTTTACTCCTCTGGATTCTTTTGTGACTTCAGAAAAAAAAAAAAAGAGATCGGATTTAAAAGAATATTTAGGGCAAAAAAAATCATCCTCTGAAGGACAGTCTTAAGCCAGCCTAAGAGTTACAACATCTATGTCATCAACTGAATTTCACTCTAAAATGAACTCCAAGTAAAAGAGCTTCATCCGGTGGTGTTGGTACCTTTGTTTTCAAAACGCAACTACCCAGGAGTTAGAAAACAAACCACCACCGAGACTATTACGTTGTGGCTTATGTTTTTCATTTGAGAGTCATCCCAGGCTCTTTTTCAGTGCCTCAAAGCCCTCTTCTGGCCACATTCATTAAGGATTCACTACTCTATTAAGCCCACACGAGCTGACACAGCCAGGATGTGGGGGAAGGCATGTTGTACTTTCACTTCGGTTTAGTGATGTGCTCACTCTGCATCTGGGGCTCATACAAAGTAACTCACACGCTCTTAATTCTTTAGTGTCCTTCCACAAAATCCCTCTCTCCCATTCCAGGCAGAGAAGAAGCTCCTGTGCAATTCACCATGACAGAGTCACAGAGCAGACCAGCTTATTTCACCCCAAAAAGCTACTGAATATGCCCACGAGAGGCTAGTAACACCAACAGTGAAGGAGGACATGGTAATTTGGACAGAATTTTAGAGAGTCACTGCCCAGATATGAGCTAGGTTACCTTACATGAAAGTTCAGATCTGGGTGACAAGCACTGTGGTGAATTAACATTTCAGGAAGGACTCAAAGATCCATTTCCCTGATGGCAAATACATTGCTCTTGCATTGTAAATAGGACAGCTAATGTTGGAAGTTATATAATACCTTGCTAATTGGGGATGCAGTGCTAAACCATGGGATGAACATAAGAAACCCCATTCCAACCAGATCAGAAACGAGGTTGTCTCGGCTCTTCGCCAGCCCTGGTGAGCCTCCTGTCCCTCTGTCTGGTGGTATGAGGCTCAAGCCCCTTCCCTGCCAAGCACTTGTGCCATCTCAGGCGAGCTACGTGCCTTCTCTGAGTCATCACAGGCTCCGAAGAGCACATGACACGCGATGAAAGCCTGCCTGTGCACCCCTCCTTATTCTGGTTATAAATGCTTTGGTTTTGTTTTAAAAAGTTCCCCACCTATGGTATCTGTCACATCTACAAACGTGTGAAAACCCAATATACATGGCTTCAAGCCAACTATAAGCAGAAAGTTTGGAACGGTACCTAACATGATTGCTGTTGGGAGGGAGCAGAGGAAGAGGTGGGTGAGCAGCCTGGGTGGGAAGAAGCGTTCCTTTTTTGACACATTTGGAGAAACATAGGTATGTATATTTCATTGCACTATATCAGAGGAGTGACTGTCCCACACAATTGCTATTGCCTTCGGAAACCTCAGGATGACCAAATCCCCAACCTACTTCCTCTCCTTGGTGTCACAGAGCAAGACCTTTGCACGCTGTCCTTCCTTCGACCCCATCCTACCCTTTTTGCTTCCCCTCTCTTTCCTACCTCTCACTTGCATTTCCCCTTTAAGCATGCCTGGGGCCTGACCTCGCACCACGCTGAAAAGCAGCTCGTGCTTTGCAGCCTTTCTCCTCCATTTTTGGCTAAGCGAAAGCTGACGTAGGTGGGACACGATGGCAGTACGCTTCACTTTCAGTTTCTGGAGCAAAATGCAGGGAATAAGGTACTTTGCCCTGTTACTTCGTGGCTGTCAGGTAGCATTGGCGAGAGCAGGCTGGGCCAAGAACTCGGCTCTTCATTTTGGAGGAACGTAGGAGCAGGACCCGAGATCACACCACTGGCCGTTGCCTCCTACCCTGCCTCCTTCAGCGGTCACCACCGAACAAGGGAGGGAACAGAAAAGCAGAGCAAACACTTAGCAATACTGCGTCAGTGTACTCTCCTAGTTTCCAGGAATTTGTAGTTCAGGACTTTTCCCACTCAAACAGGCTATTTTTGGCTGTATACATAGGAAATCAGCACACAGGACAATGCACCCTGCTTACTTCTTTCCCAGCTGTGAATTCTGGCTACAACCTAACTCCCAGGCAACCCGGTAGCCATCGCTCCACTCCACCACCCTGGCTCTCCAGCCATCCCAGAGGCTCCCCGGTCTGTGCCGCGCAGCCGCTCTCTCCCTCTCCCCGCGACCCTGCAAACGCGGCTCTTGGGCTCACGCGGCAGCAGCCGGGCAGCGTAGGATGCCCTACAGCCCTTGAACGCACCGACTGACTTACAGGACAGACCTCTTCTCGATTCTTCTTCCATTACTTAAAGTAAAATCTGTTTACAAGCTAGAGAAGCAATGACCACGCTCCATCTCCTCCGTTCTTCACACTGCTTTTTTAAATGATGTGGCTTAAGGACTTCCCCGTGGCCGGATGCGTTGCAAAAGCTCTCCGAGAAGGAAGCCTAGATTATGTACAAGCTTTTATTATGTGTCAGGCCTGATACACCGACAACAGGAAACATCAGTGTGCTTCGGCGCTATGTCTCATGCCAGGCTTGTGCTGCCTGCACAGATCACTCCCCTCCAAATACACACCATCAGAAAAAAGAAATAAATCACTTTTTAAAGTGAGTTTAATCTATAAACCATAGATTAAAAGATATTCTACCCAACAAATGAAATAGTTTAAGTAAACTTGCCCTCTTTATTAGGAACTTCTTATTCTTTGAGCTTTTTGGCTATTTAAATTGTTTTTCTGATCACATCAGGAAGTAAAAGACATTAGAGCCTCCTTTGTATTGTAAGCATTTCAGTAATATACATGTAACAGAAAAAAACCCTTTGAAAACAAGTTCTTTCTCTAACACACAGATGCAGAGCCCTTTACTGCTACCAACAGATAACAAGAGCCTTCCAAACAGCCTAAATATGTATGAGTAGGAACTAAGAATGAAGTGATCTGGACTTCATGAGCAAGTGCTTTATAAATTAAATGCACTTTTTGATTGAAGTTTTTTGCTATTACTTAAACTGTCATAAGTGGAACAGTGTTTTAACCCACACTTCTGCAACAAAACCAAAGCAAAACCCCAATACCCTCAACCCTTCCCAGGAGACAACTTCAAATCTTCGTTTTTGTCATATATACATGGAATCATCACCTGTAGTATATAAAAAGTAGTACAGACCCTTCTAGTAAGCAAAGTTCCCATTTGTAAATACTTACCTCTAACAAGTAAAACAATGAAAAATGCTAATTTGAATCTCATAAAGCAGAGCTGCGATAGTGCTGTAAAACAGATGAAACTAGAAGCTATTGAAAACTTGAAAAAAGGGAAACTTCTGCTTTTTATTCTCACTTTTCATCAACAATTCAACTAAAGTTTTTACTAAATTTCTAGAACGAAGAAATCAGCCTAACATGATATATATGAGAAACAAGATTCTGAAAATATCAGGTGCAGAAAATCACCGTGTATTGGTCTAATCTATAAAATGGGGGTTACTTATTTTATAAATAAATTGCTCTGAAATCTTCTGATAAACACCATAAAAATACAGTCGTCTTCACTGGGATTTGAGTGAGCTGGATTTTGAATAAAGACATTAAAGAGGAAAAAATATCTCTCTGTTGAAAGGTTAATAATCAAAAGACTCAGGACAAGAATGAAAATATCAAAAATAATACAATTTCTTCCCTTCAAGTGAAGAAAATGGAAAGAAAAGGAAGACAGGGCTATCTCATTAAATAATTTTTTATGTGTAAAGGAAAATACTTAACTGACAACTGAGAAATTCCTTTCCAGTCCCGTTTCATATCAAGTAATTTGAAACATAACCAACCTCTTAACCTAAGTCCCTATTAAAATCCATTTAGAAGCTTAAAGGTTTAAAGAAACCGATTTAAAAATATTTTATTGCTTCTATGTTTCCATATACAGTACATACACAACTGGTGCAACTGGTAACAAGACAAGAACAGAAATGAAAAATCATTTATAGTTCAACTGAATGATATATAAAAGCATAGCGTTCCCAGTCTTCATCTTAAAACATGAGTAAATCCTCAGTTTCTCCCTTTCTCCTCCCTCTCTATTCCAGAGCTCAAAGAAATGAAGTATTGGTCCTCATTGCAAATCAACTGGCAATTTCCCCTCAAGTTGATTACCTAGAAGTTAGTTAATCTGTTATTAAAAAATTAATCTAAACGTTCTACCAGAAGGTGATTAGACATCTTTGCTAATAGCAGTCCTGTTCTCTTTTCCTCAATTGTCAGAACATCCAAAAAAATATGTTCTTCTCTATCTGTTCTTGGCAGCTGACAGCAATACAAAGTTGCTGTTGAAGAGAGTAGTGAGCACTACAACATTCAGAGAAGAAACATGCTGCCACAACACTTTCACACATGATACGGCTTTATGACGAAAACCAAATGGTTAGTCCACAAATTAAGTAGTTTCCTTCAAAGTAAATGTCTGAAGTCTTATTTTCATTAACATTATTTGGATAGAATTGTTATTCAGGATGAAAGCCTTATACTCTACCTATTTTAAAAAACACACCTGGAAAAGATGAAAGGTCATTTTGCATTGTGCTGGTTTACCTTCCCAGACCTGAATTGGTGTGGTCTCTTTTCAGCAGAGGATAAATTTCCATCAACATATTGAAGTATGAAATAGTTACCTAAAGCTAATGTATGGACAGATACTATGTGAAGCAGTTGTCAGTAGGAACTGGCAAATTGGACCTCCTTAATTCTGATTTGAAAAAGTAAGAATAGATGCTATTTCAGTGTATGTGACTCCTACAGCCATTTTAAAATTGGCAAGTTTATAGGTGGATACTACTGATGACTCTTACATGCTAAAACCATTTATATTTGTTTTTAAAACAGTTCTCAGTTGTCCTTTAAAACAAACAAAACAAAAAACACTGTTCCTGTAGCTGGTAGCATTAGCTCTCTTGGGGCTCCAGCAGTAAGAGCACAATCCTCCTAACATAGCAGCAAACATGGCAACGAGTAAAACATTTCTAATATGAAGACATTTCAACTATTCTGCTCCATGCAACCTACCAATTTTCCTTATTAATCTTCTCGGTTTGCTCACAAAGACTCAACTTTGATATTCTCCTTAAGCATGATGAGCTTATTCAGAAGCACTTCACTACTGTTTTGACGCATTTCTCAGTAAAGCCACTGGTAAAGACTACCTTTGGCCTGAGTGGGACCAGAAATAAGACAACACGGAACACTTCTCTGCTGTTTAATTTGGGGGCTGAATTTAATCAAAACTTTGTTTTCAAAGCACTCCTAGTTAAAACTATAGACAGGCTCAATCAAATTAGCAGCAGCAAACACCATGCCAAGAGGCGCAAAAGCCACCAGCTTGCACGCTGGCAAAACTGCAAATATTTACCAAGCATCTGTATGAAGGGCAACCCTGTGTGTGTTTGGCTTTTGGGTGCAATTTTTTTGACCTTTTATATTGGCAGCAGTGAAGCTCATGAATAAATGATAAAACTGCCAAACACAGAAGGGGCCTCACTGCATGGCCTTGACACTAGTGTGTGCCAGTTACTGTTACCCATTGCCAAACATTGTCAAGTGCATTCAGGTCACTTTACTTCTCCATACAGACACAATGTAGGAATGATGTACAAGAGTAATTACCAGAAGCCCAGCTTTGCAGGAGCGTAACGGAATAGATTTATCTTATAGGGAAGGGAAACACTTTCATTAGTAAACACTTCAAGCTTCAAGTAGGCAAGACTGCAACTTGAACTTGCAGAAACTGCCTGAGACAGTGCCTTCACTGAGGTCATAGTATACACATTTCTCCATTACAAATAAATGAAGAAGTAGACATTGTATCAAAGCTCAGAAGAGATTCAGTAGTACAGGAAACCAAACTAAAATACTGGCTATTTGCATTACTTAGCAGCCATCTGTAAACACCAAGGGTGCCTAACTAGTGTGCTCTATTAAATTTCAGCAAATTCTTGATGACCTAATACTATAGATATTTTGATTGTGCTTCCTTGATTGATATTAGTGATTTTGGTACACTTCCTTCATATTTCTAATTAGGACTTAGAAACAAGAACAGACACTGCTTCTCTGACATACAACTGGAAGGGATGTCCCTCAAACTCTAGAATGTTGAGAGAAAGACTGCTCCCAAAACCTTTCCCAGGTTTCACACACAGTTCTGAGCAGGAAGACCCTGGCAGCAGAATCAGTGTCATATGGATTAAATTAAGCATACAGTGCAGACAACTAGTAAAGCTAATAACCCACATAATTTCTTATTGAATCTTGTCAATTTAATTTAAGGTGCTCTCTAATAATCTCAGATATGAATGACAAGGTTGAAAGGAATCAACCTTGCAGGAAGATATGGCCTGAACAGTCAATTCTTCTTTACCACCCTTCACAGCTACCCAGTTAAGGCTGCCCCACTTATACTGCACGCAAGTACAATAACCAGAGTTCTTCCATACCATCCAGCTTAACTCGATAGCTCCAACAAAGAGCAACTTTACTTCGGCTATAGCAAAAGATGACGTAGGGATACCCACTTGTGCTAAGTTTGCAGAGGGCACACATAAGATAAAAATGCATCTATTTGATTCTTAACAATGACTTCTTTTGGGTGCAAGTTATGTGGCAAGTAATGAGCCAGAGACATCTCCCAAGCATCCACAAAGTGCACAGCAATTCCTGAGAACATTTTCCTCATGACAGAATCAAGCTGAAAGGAATACCAGTCACTGTTAAAGAGGCTCACTTCTGGCCCAAGCTCCTGAACATTAGCGGTTCTGATGATGATTAAAGTCTTGGGGCTGCGATCCAGCAGTTGAATAATTGATCTCCGAATGTTCCTCAGCCGCCGGATATACACTTCCACAGGGAAAGTGCTGAAGTGGGACCATATAGTTATGGCTATCACTGTGTTTCTACCACCCACTATGCCGTTCAGTTCATTGGCAATGTAGCGCAGTTCACTGCTGAAGACTGTTGAAAAGCGAATGGGTGGCCCATGACAGCGGAACTTCAGTAGGATATTGTGCTTCAGGTCCACAGACATGAAAGGGCCCACGTTTTTGGGACTCCCCAGGTTAAATTCCACTAGATCTGAAAAACCAAGAGCAAGCATTAGTGAAAGACGGCATAAGAGATTAAAACTATCAGCAAGATGCTAGGGCCACAGGGCAAAAGTAGCAGTAGATAAGGAAATCTGAACATAATTCTAAGAACTCTAAAAGAAGCAGATGAGTGTCATACATGTGCTAGCTGCATATTTCACAGTGGAGTTTATGGATGCTGAAATTTGCAAGACAGCACACTTCACAAGGCTGTCAATGCCTTTTCCACATTTCCCAAACTATTTTCTTCTCTCTCTCATAAAAAAGAAATTTTCCAAATAGACTCCTTCAGTCACTGTTGCCCTATGAATCCAGTGTTCACAGGAACACTTCTGGCAACTTTAGGACCCCATTAAATTTAAAGATGCCTTCAACTTGTAGGCATTAAGGAGTCTCAACATCTGTGTTCCAACACAATTTAACTGCTTTAGGGGCAAGGGAGGAATACCTAATTGGCTACTGAAATCCTGTTATTTAAGTTAAGGGAAATTATTTAGTTAAAATAAGGGAAACAAGAAAGGGCCCCAAACCAATCAATAGTAACAGAAGTCCTTTGCTACTTCATTCCGAAGTCACTCGTGTGAGTGGGATGCTGCAGGGCCTTCTGCCATGCCCCCTGGGTGGCCACCTTAACTCACAGCCACAGCAGCGGTCCTTACTGGTGACACGTTTTACAAGGACAATCTTGCAGATACCCTGCGGCCCCATCTCCAAGGCCTACGTGTTTCCAGCGTCTGCTCAAACATTTGACTAACTGCCTTTCTGCCAGGGCTTCTGATAAGGTCTCGTCTTTGTTTTGTCATTGTCATTCAGTAAGATCAGCTCTGTGTCCGAGATGTGAGAAATAAAGCTTTGCAAAAGTCTTTAAGGACAAAACCAAATTAAAGAAAAATAACCTGGAACAACCGCTGTCAGATATTCAAACCACTGCCTTATTGTAGAGTCTCCAAACAAGTGGATTACTTTCCCCTGTAAGCACTTGGTTATATCATCCGACTTGTTAAAATGATGGATCCAGTGCGTTCTGGGCCTCCACTGGTCTTCGTAGTAATAACCAGAGGGGGAAACCGTGGGACCTTCAGCTCTGTCCATACTGCTTGAATCTGGAAGAGAAAAATCCTTTAAAACTAGCATACATGACAAAACCGGCCTCCGTAGCCTCGACGGACACGCCGCCAGTGCTGCAGGACCTCTCCCCCCGCCGCACGCACGAA